ATGTTTATGTTCGAATTTTGTACTCCATCAGTCTTGACGTTATCAGTTTGAATTATTTATATTGATGATTGCTAATCATAATTCAGTTCAGTCCAGTGTTGTTTTGAAAATTAGGAAAATAACATTTTAAAGAGAGATTTTACTTGACACCAAAAAATTGGGAACAGCGCTAAATGTTTCAGTTAAAAAAAGTTGAAATTATTAAGAATGCATTAAATCTAAAAAAAAATCAATAAAGTATACAATCACATAATGACCAAATCAAATGACTGCATGCGATGACTGTTGTCTTAAAACTATTCAATTTCTGTTCAGTTTGTTTGAGGACAATTCTCCAATTTAAACATGCCCAATGCATGTTCTACAACCCCACGTAATGCGCAAAAATGGAGTGAATTTCCGTTGCTCTTGCGTCATTGTGCCCCTGTCCTTATACGGCTTTATTGGAGCCTAGAAAAGATATGGCATTCAAACCACGTCCCGCTTCAACTAAAGCTCGGTATTTTCAAATCCACCTGTTTATCCGTCCTACTTTATGGTTGCGAGACTTGGGTGATTACCAAGGATATCACGTCAAAAATAAATTCCTTTGCAACTTCTTGCTACCGTATCATGCTTGGTATTAGACGAACTGACAGAGTATCATACGAAAGACTATACAGCATCACAAATACCAAACCGTTGATGAAATCTATCGTGGGACGGCAGCTCCAATTCCTGGGTCACATTCTGCGTCTGCATGACTCAGGACCATCAAAAATCTATGCACTTTATGAACCTCCCCACGGAAACAGACCCCGAGGTGGTCAACGGAAGTTGTACTCTAAGCAAGTCAAGGAATGGATCGATCCAACTGGCAATTTCACCGAATCAGACATTCTACGAACTGCCCAAGACCGGGTCAACTGAAAACGTCTTGTAGTCGACTGTGCAACAGCTGAACGATGATGATGAATCTATTTTGATGCTCAACTCCAACTCTTCAAAGGCGAAAATACATACCGTTGGATTTTATATTTTTCTCACGAGGAATACACAGAAAGGTCACATATATATTTTATTTCATAAATTCGATGGTAGGGTTTTAGGATTGTCTTTAATATCATTGCATTTCTTCAAAAAGTCTTGAAATCTGGTCTCTTTTCGTCGAATTTGACACTTCATACGGACTGTCAGGTTACGCTTGAGTGATCACGGACTTTTTGTCCCACTTAAGTTTGATATGAACTAAATAAAATACCTCAAATGCCTTTGACAGGTACTCGGAATAAGACGTAGCCATAGATTGATTGTCAATATCTGATATGTATGAATAGCATAGAATAATCATCACAAATTAAAACATAAAGTGAATATGCCCTTGATTCCCTGAATCGCCCTTTAAATTCTCTTATCCTAGGACTAGACCCTGCTTCTCCGGGCTTCAAAGGCCAGGCCACCGATGTAAAACTTGCTGAGACTGATGCCGCGTTCGTTGACGTCATCCATACGGATTCTGATCAGTAAGGCACCCCTGATAAGAGTGGAAAGTCTGACTTTTGGCCTAATGGCGGAATATCACAACCTGCTGGATGTAAAACCGGTAGGTTTACTTATTTAGCAAGTGTTATTCTTATCTTCTCATTTAAAAAGCTTTAGTGCTTTTAAAAGAACCGAGAAAAATGAAAACAAACATATCATAAATAATACATATGCAATCTTGAAAGCAATGCCATTGGCGTAGACTGTTTTAACTTTAAAAGTGTGATACTATGAAGGTCGATGCGATTAGAGCTTGCTACGCTGTATCATTCCGAGAAGTCTGTCGTGCAGCACGACTGACATTGCCGTGCCAATGCCGTGCTATGGTCGCGCCGAACTCAATTGATTCATACGCCGAGCTGTTCATGTGCTAAATTCAAACTATTTGGTTCGGCGGTAATGTGATGATCAGGCAAGACATAATAACTTACAAAAGCAGGACTTTTTATAATGCGATTTTAATCACATACCAAAATTAATACTAAACACACAAGAGACTTGAAACAATACGACATTCGTTGATACGGTTTTAACCAAAAATATTTGACTTTTGTATTTTCCGACAGATGATAAATGGTGCTCGCATACACGTGCTTATAAGTACTTCATCGCGTCCATCAAATTCAACGATTGTTATCGCTTAAAATCCGTGGATAAAAGTCCAGAAATGGGATACAACGCCATTAAGTACGAGGGTTTAGAT